GAAGAGCGCAATGATGGTGCCAACTTGGGCCAGTGAAGCAACGTCCTCCACAACTAGACTGAAGAACAAAACGACAGCAACTTGTGTGTTCCCCTTCCCCCAATTCCCCAGCGTTGTTCCCATCCCTCAATTCCCCAATAAAAATCTTAAAAAAAAAAAAGGCTTTTCTGTCCCAGTAGGTACAAAAACTTTGATGGCTCTAGTATTGTAACATGGCCAAACAATAAAGACCAAAAGAATGAAGAATAGGGCCTATTGGGCTTTATCATTTATTCTGTGATGTCTCTTAGAAGAAGGAAACCTTTTCCAGGTACAAATACTAACCGGTGCTTATCTCACAATGGGTCGGAGTTCTGTTCCTTCTTGGTTCCTTAAATTCTCTTCTCTCTGTGCCCTTGCATTGTTTAATTTGTTCATTCTTTTTACAAAACTCTGAAAAACAAAAGAATAAGTTAGACCAGGGTTATGTGTCTACCTTGTTGACAACCATTCACTTGGCCATATCATTTTGGAGCATTTAACCCTTAAAAAAGTTTTCCCTGTTGAATTAAAAGATGTGGGAGGTTAGGTTTCATAGTGGATTTTTAATCAGAAAAGTGTAAATCATAAAAAGACCTGGTTAGCTTCCTACCACCATGAGAAATATTTTCTTGAGAGTATGTACAAATAAGGAAAGTGTTATTGTAGTTTTATGTTTTATATGGAGGATGAGGGCACATTATGTACAAAACTATAGAAGTGCTTGAACTTCAGTGCCGGGCTGAATGGAAGAGTGCTTTGAATGTTTTATTTAAAAGCAAAAAAACACTTTAATGTCTAAGTTTTATTACAACAGAATGAAAGAAAATTGTTAAAATGTCACTTTACCCAGACAAAAGGAAAGGGACGAGAGACTTCATACAGCTGTTAAAGTATCCCTGCCTCCATAGGGTAATGCAAATAACAACTGTGTCGCAAAAGCTGTTGGAAACAGCTGCCTGCTATTTCCAGATAGAGGCAAGCATGAGGCTCCACTAAGGGTGTGGCTTTTCTCGTGGTGGTGTGCCTGGGTTACTAAAGGGCTTGAGATTGCAGATCTGTCCATACTGGCACAGATGGGGATTAGTCTTCACTGGAGTATGTGCCCCCTAACAGACAATGAGTATGACAGGATGCTTGGGGGTGCAAAAATGCTTTAGAAATGGATAGACGGCCAAACCTCCAGACCACCTGAAAGGCCAGACCAAGCCCTTAGCACTAAAGGGACTTGGACTGCGACTGTGTCCAGAACATCCCCTACCCAACATCATTTAGTCAGTGTTAATTGTTCAGCTTCACTTGTCTCCAGGGAGGTTTCAGTAAGGGAGATGAGCTCAGCCTCAGAAAACAGCTCCTACTCTCAGGACATTCAGATCATGTGAGAGAAGCTCAGAGAGCTTCCAGGAAGAGAAAATGAGGCTGGGTGCGTGCCTCCTTTATGTGTTAGTCTGCAACACTTTTGTGAGGGTGGAGACTGCAACAGGGAATGAAATGTTTGCTTACCAAAAACTCTTGGTCCATGAAGTAGGGCTTTTCTGATGACCCATCATTTGTTTCCAGATCAACAGCGAAACATACGAAAAGTGAATCCAGCACAGTTTCAAACACAGATAAAAAGCTATGGGCCACTAGGTAGGCAAAAAAAGCAACCAACAGCAGTGGGATTGCCCACACCTGGAGCACTCGGTGGTAGTTAAATGCCATCAGTCCGCCAAAAACAGTGAAACACACCACTAACACCTGTCAAAACAAGAATTTGTTGCAAATCTTTATAAGCTGGTTGGTTAGAAATTGTAGAAAACATTGTCAGTTACTATAGTAGCACACACATATTTGTGTGTGTTTGTGGGTGCCCTATTCAGAAAATTCGGTACAATGAAATAGGAAGAAGACAAAAATGAAAAGCTATGATACCAAAAAAACCTAATTAATTCGGAGGGTGGGAAGAGTATATGTACTTTCATTCTATCTGTGCCTAGTTTTGTATTAATATTTATGTAGATGAAATGACACCTCACAAAATTTGTTATTGTTTCTTCCCTTACCACCATAATAAGCATCTTCATTTAAAAACTGTTTTATAAATGCCATTTTTTAATAACAGTGCAACACATCCATTGAGTGGATATAGTGTAGTTTAATATATGATTATTTTTACCCTGGGGATTAAACAGAAGAGCTTTCCAATACTGGTGTGGGGAGATAATAGGATTACTCCAGGCTTTGGCTATATGCAATTATTATATTTCCAGGAACAGGATTACAGGCCAGGATGTACCTAATTCTTTAACAGACAAAATGGAGCCCATCTGGAGTCCACATTCCCCTTGGATTTCTAGAAGATGGGCATGACTTTCTGAATGCTACTTCATTCAGACAAAGGTTCACTAGTTTCGCATGCTCATTAGAAGCTCATTAGCAATTATGTGTTCCTTATGGAAATATAGGAAAATGGAGTATTGCCTAAAAGAAAAGATAAATCTGTTATAAAGATGAAACACCATTCCAAAAATTTTTGGAAGTAGCTATTAGAAAACATATCGCCTATAATCTTACCAAACTAATGTAAACAATATTATCCATTTAAATACAACTAAAACTTAGATAACTTAGGCTATTTTGAAAGGCATAATCAGTTGTGCTTCTAGAGCCACTGTCACACGGAAAGTCTCTAGGGCCCAGCTGAGCCTTAAAATGTATGTGCATTAACACACATCTGTGTGTTAGTAACTTGCTACTAACAACAGATAACTATGATAGTAATGCCCCAGAGACACACCAAATGCCACAGAAGCTGAAAATGTTAAATAAGGACCAAGAGTCCTCATATTTGGCATAGGTCAGATCACAACTGGAGACTGAGATCTTGTTTACTCTGGGGCACCAGCAAAGACCCCCACATTCATGTCCTATTTGGAGGAATGATTGGAAGAAGTGAGGATATCTAGCTTGGAACAGTGAAGATGGGGCAGGAAGATCAGGACATTCCAGGGTCAAGAATTTAAAGGGCAGTCAAGTGGAAGTGGGATCAATTGAGGGGTGCAGAATTAGACCCAGCGGGTGACAATCACATGGAAAGACACACTGTGGCACAGTATAAGGAACTTTCAACTGAAAGCTTGGGCAAAGTGAGGCTGGAGCACCGATTTCATCAATATTCCAGTTATTCTTTCCTACAACCCAGGAAGGGCATGTGTTGTCTTTAGCTTCTAGATAGGAAGACTGAGGTTTGAAGTTAAAGATCCCAACTTCAGGGCTTGTGCTTCACACCATGAGATGTTGGAGCTCCAAGATGCTCCTTTGCTCCGCAAGACTACAGACAGACAGTTCCTTGAAGAAAACTATTCAGATGACAACAGAAATGTAACGTTGGCTCCATTTGGAAAATCAATAATTCTATCTGCTAATAGACTTAATGGCATCACATAATGCAGATATTTTATCAGGTTTCAATACTATTTCCATATATTTTATGACATTCTCCCCCCCCAAAAAAAATTATCCATTTTCTGAGACCAGTAGTATTTTTATTTTAGATATGAAACAGTAGAACTCAGAATGGTAGAGAGAATGGATCATAGATAAGAGAGTGAGACTAGAATTCAAAGCCTGGCTCTATCTATTGTGGAATCATGGACGAGTTATTAAACCTCAGTTTCCTCAACTGTAAAACAGGAATAGCTCACAGGGTTGAGGATTAGATGAGATGAGGAAGCACAACATCTACCATAAAATAAGCACTCAGAAAACATTCATTCTCATTCCAAGCCTTATTGTATGACTTCATTTTGAGGTCCCGAGTTCCTTTATTATTTTAGTGATGACTTCTCACCTTTCCTAGAAAAATTATGAAGTGTCCAATGCAGTTAACAGATGTTAAATGACTTGAATTCTTCGATAAGAGTTTGAGTGTGTCTTTCGCTGATGTACAAAAGTCTGTCCCATTAATGGCCGTGGTAGTATATGCATTCTGAAACAGAAGACAATAGATTAAAAGATGATGATTCTTATATTGTTTTAAAGACAATGACAATATTTGCAAAAGAAAAATTACTATAAACCTATAACAAATCATTTCACTTTATATTCCTTTCCAGTTTAATTATATGTATATACATTTTCATAGTTGGAGTAAATGGAAAAGAGAAATTAGTACTTTTGGTCAGTATGGTGGATTAAACATCCCACCACAAACATATGGAAATGAGGGGTAAAGTACAAATTATTTTTTAATGCAAGCAGAGTTTGAGGACAGAAAAGGAAGTTTAGGTGCTAGAAACAAAGCAGACCCTAGTGGCTCGTGAGAGCTGAACCCATTGGCTCAATGGGCATGGAATCACTAAAGGCTCTCAGTCTGGGAGCTGGGGACTTAACCCCTTCTGGGTAAGAGACAATGCTCCAGCCCTTGCTAGGGAACTGTGCTCTCTGCACAAATTCAGGATGTGTACTCAGTTCAAACTCAAGCAAACATCCCAGGAAAATGGTAAAGAAGTACACCATCTGCCTGAGACCATTGAAATTACTACAGTCCGGAGGGACAAAGAAAACCATACCTCCCTCCCCTGCACCCCCAGACCAGGGAAAGGTGGAGTCCAACAGACTCCATGGCTTTTATAATTTTAACTGTTAATAAATACATATTTTATCAGCACTGTGTGTGTGTGTGTGTGTGTGTGTGTGTGTGTGTTCACATGAGACGATTTCTTGGGTCATTTTTCTAAAATACCTTCCCTTTATGATTAAGTGATCATTTCAAAAAAATTTATTATTGTCTGCCTTGAAATCTTTAAAAATACTACTTGTACTGAAGTTCACAACAAAGAATTTATAGCTTTCTTGGGAAAATACACTGAATACTACCTGCTTGGGTTTGTCATTCCTTTTGCCTTGGATAAAGGATTCAAGTTTTCATCTCTTGATATACAAATTAATCCTTTCACACACCCACTCAAAAATGTTGTGAGGGAATCAATTTGGAGTCTATTGCAATAATTCGGTCCCCAACAGCACAGGTGTTAATTGGAGTAAGTGATGGAGGAAGTAGAGAGGACTAATAAGCATGAGAGTAAGACAGTAGAATTAACTCACCCACTTTACCAAACTTCCTTTTCACCAAGCCAACTGGAGAGGAACATTCAGTTTTTAAAAGCCAAAAGGCTGGGTACACACCTCCCCTTGCTTGCCTCAAAGAGGTTTTTCTTAGATAAAGTCCCTCAGAAATGCCTTTTTCCACAAACAACTTTTGGTTTCTGATTTAGTGGAAAGCTGTCCCCAGTTTGGGGACTTAAGTCATGAGTAAAGATGTGGCAACTCATTTGCTCATTGTTTAACTAAGCATCTCTAATCATCTAAGGTTCTCAGAGCCCTGATGACTAATTCATTAATACTGAAAAAACATATGTAGGGTGGGTGGTGGGGGTGATGAATGGCATAATCATTCTTTTGTAGACTAGAAACCAAGATCAAGGACATTTTCCCCAGGTCCCCTGGTGAATCAGAGGGATTTTGTTTTGTTTTGTTTTGTTTTTCTCTAAACTTCTGGACATTATACTATCAATTTTCACTAGAACAAAACACCATTGTAAAAGCGTGGTGGTTAAGGTAAGCATAGGCTCTGTAGCCAGATAGTCTCTGGGTTCAAATCCCAGTTCTACCACTGGCTGTCAGTCATGGGCAAATGATTTCACCTCTCTCCAACCTCAATTTCCTTATCTATAAAGTGAGTTATAGCACCTACTGCCAAGGGACGTTGGGAGGATTAAAGACCATGTTCCCTATAAAGCACTTAGCAAAGCTCCTGGCACATGGAAAGCATGTAATAAAGGGTTGTTATTATCATCCAGACCTCACCAAAAATGATCTCATTTAGAACTGGGAAACAAGCAAATCCAGGGACTGACATGGTGTGGAAAGAACTCATGCTTTCTGTTTTTTTTTTGTTTTTTTTTAGCTGAGCCAGCAGCTCAGCTCATGCCAGGAATCAAACCACTGTTGCTCAGAGCTCACACTCTTGAGTGAGCTCTTAACCAACTGAGCCAGTCGGCCAGGCCTGCAAACCTGTGCTTTCTTTATCCTTAGACTCTAATCCCTCCCACTCGCAGGGACCCAGGAAGGGCAGGACTTGTTCTACAGACTGCAGTCCAGGCCCCACCATGGTCTTTCTTTGCTGCTGCAGTTCCACCACATGCCAGCCGAACTCTTTATTTGCATTCAGGCTCTGTCCCCAGCCCACCACCCCACCACTTCCCCTTCGAAGTGTCCTTCAGGCTCTGAGGTCCTTCCTGATTCATACTGGAAAAGACAGTTTTTATGGGGACTTCCTTTTCCTGTAGACCATGGCCTTGTAATCAATTTAGCACCACTCCTCATAGCAATAAAAATAGATTTTCGTCCTTGGTTACAATGATTAATGATTAAAATGGTACTTTCTCATGCATGTGTTGACTCCACAGATTTTTGGGGGGGCCCATAACCATTTATCCTTTCTTTAATGTATCATGTCACTGAAAGAGGGCATTCAAACCACTCTGACGGGGCAATTATATATGCCCTCCTGCAGTTACTATCCCACTAGCATCTTACTACAGGTTCAACCCTGAGTGCGACAGAGAGGCCTAGAATTAATGTCTGAACGAATAGCTAGAGGAGGGAAGAATCACTCAAGACAGGATAAGGATTGAAAATTTCTGCAGTTTCAGCATTAACTCATTTTTACTTATTCTGAGTAGAAGCTGCTTCCTTGTCAGGCAGCTGGAAGATGGACTTCACTAAAGGTTCAATATTGTAAGTCCTTGCTCAGAGCATCTGTATTTGCCTGTGCTGACAGGGCTCAGCATGAACCTGCAGACCTCAACAATACGTGGAAAGGATTGGATATAATAAAGATTAAGTGACACGTTTTGCTGGTTGTGAAAATTAATCAGGAGATCCACAAGGCCCTGCACCCTCTGAGGCTCACTCCCAGTGCTGACTTAGTACCTCCGTAGTGCCTACTGGGCTCTGCCTGAGTTCCACATAAATGCTGTTTGACTGTCCACCCACTGAGCACATTGGTTCCACTAGCAGTCATAAGCTTGGGGCCAGGCCCAAAGAAAATGAGCTCTTCTCTGGGGAGAAAATCAGAGTCTTAGGAATTGTCACTCTTTCAGGCACTCTGTTCCCCTCCGACCCTTTTCAAAAGATGCCTTAATGATATGTCCCAAATGGCTTTTGCCATAGACCTGACAGTAGCTTCCTAATTTGTTTCTGGTTTTTGTTGTTGTTGTTTTGTTTTCTTGCTGTCAGTAAGCAGGTGTGCATCTTCTGTGTGTGAATAAATAATAATAAGGGCAAGCATTAAGGGGTGCATACCATGTGACAGGCTGTATTCTATATTCCCCTGAAGGCATTGACTAATTTAATCCTCTTCACAACCCCAACTGGACGATGAGGTTGGCGAGGAGATGAAAGCACAGAGATGTCAGGTAGCACTCCCTCTTGCGTGCACATGCGCGACCCATGTGGCATCACTTTCCAGAAGTGGCTCTCTGACTCATTCAGGTCCATCAGGAAAACATTTACTTTGAGCTGTACTTTGTGCTTTTCCTTCCCGAGGGTTTAAAATCACAAAGTGTCCTCTCAAGAGATGTGTCATTAAAAAGAGCCAAGGACGTGGCAGGATGGCTTAGTGGAAAGAGGCTGGGTTCTGATTATGATGCCTCCAAAGACTGGCGGAGTGGCCTCCACTAAGTAATGTCACCTTGCAGGTGCCTGGTTCTGTTGCTGGTCAAGGGGTCTGCCAGCCCTACAGTTAGTTCTCCATACAGATGCTCAATATCCATGCATACTTCTGAATGGACCAGGCACCCTCATGTTATCCTCTTATTTGAGCTCATCTGTTTCTCACAACTCAGAGAAATAGTCACCATGGATATTACTATTCCCACTATCACAGAAAATTCTTATTTTTAAAGAAAAATGAAAGAGATTTAAGAGTACTTTTAGGGAACTGAAAAGTTGGATTACCTCTTTAATTTACTTTGAGAGTTATCCAAGAATGCTAATCGCTTTTTTAAAGAGCATTTTTGCTCCTTAAGTCAAAACCGGAGCCAGCACAGTTGAGCCCTGTGCCCTCCCTGTAAACTGAAGCTGTTCTTTGGGTGGAGGAACTAATGAACCCCAGGCTCTGTTGACTCTTCAGAAAAGTAAACAGTGCTTTCCTCTATATAGGAGGGAAGGTATTTGCCAAAAATCATACCATGAATAGCTAGCTTTATTTCTGGAAGACCATCCTGACAAAGTTGTGATATTTATCAGCTCAAAATAAAACAAGAACTACTAAAACAAACTTAAGAAAATGGACAATGAATACATAACACAGTATTCATACTTTCCCCAGAACTGAAAGAAATACAGCGAAGTCTGATCCCAGATAGATCCCCATACATCCAAGGGACCTACAGTAAAACTTGCAGGAACCAGCCCAAGCCGTGTCTTTATCACAAACACATGCTGAGGGAGATCGTGGGCAAACAGCCTCTGGGCCTGGCAGGGCCTGGCATTCACCCTGCAGGTCAGTTCAAGAGTTCACTGGTCACCAGTTGCCAAAACCCAATGAGATGTGAGTGGGGAAACCTGCCAGTTCCCTCCAGGGCTGGGACAAGGTGGAGGCCGGGTGGAAGGAGAAACATGCCTTTGCTGGGACCTGCTGCCTGTAAAGCCAGGTCCATGGCAGTGCTGTTTTGTGTGCTCTTTTAAAATGTATTTACATTTTGCTTATCTTTTGGAATAATGGCTTATTTTCATGCCCATCACAAAAAAAAAAAGAAAAAATCAAGCAACATAGAAAGAGACAAAGAAGACAGCAAGAAAATCACTCGGATTCCACTCCTCAGAGATTGCTGTCACAAGACCTCACCCAACCTTTCCCTGCAAATATCCACAGCCAAGAGGAAGGAGGGATGGGTGGGTGAACATAAACTATAAAAGTGC